GAATAATTTGGGAGGTACACTCAATTATTATATATTTATTTAAGTTCTACGCCTTAACTCCACATTGCCTATGTACAATTTAGAAAATGTAAATGTCTTTAGTTAAAAAAACATAAAACAACATTTTCTAACTTTGTCAGATATCTTGGTCATCAGTTCAACTGTTTGAGATAAAATATTGGTGTGTAATAATAAACTGAGCCACTTATAAGGGTAGTTTAGAACACATCTAAAAACAATTGTGACCATTCAAAACATTAGTCTACATGGAGATAACATCCACAGCCAAGTGACATAGTGTAGATCGATGGATTTCACTCAGTCTGCATTTCTTCTTTGCAAAGAAAAGGAACAATGATGACATGATGTTCAGCCCTGCTCTGGATAGACAAAGTGTATATCTTAAACCCTGTAGAAAGGCTGTGAAGATTTTAAATACTGTTATTCAAAATAACTAAAGACATCTACAGCAAAACAGTAAAATGTTATGAATAAAAACCTTGGAAAATCTGCTCCTTTGTGCAAGGAGGAGCAGGAGGAGCACTGCCAGAGCCCTACAAAATGACCTCCAGCAGGCCACTAGAGTGAATGTCTCTGACCTAACAATCAGAAACAGACTTCACAAGGGTGGACTAAGGGCCCGACGTCCTCTAGTGGGCCCTGTGTTCACTGCCCGGCACCGTGGATCTCGATTGGCATTTGCCACAGAACACCAGAATTGGCAAGACTTTCTTGATCTTGTAGAGACTTCAGCTGATGTTGCATCTTTATCAGTTTTTAAAGGTTTATAAGAGTTGATACAACCTCACTCCACCCTGAATCAGAAAACAAAAAACAACAATGTATGTTGTGAGGAGGGTTCCATTTTCATGTATCATGAACTCTAATTTCTTTCAAATATTGCATCCTTCCAATTATACTCCCTGACCTTAATACATTTTTAATCATTTACCAAATTTTAAGCAGGATGTATTAATTTTATATGATTAATTGCACTGTTATCATCATACCTGCTGCTAACCGACATTAGTGAATGTATTAATATCTGGCATATTTTGGACAATTTCAGAAGCCAGCAAACGGACTCTTACGGTTTTATTCTTGTTTCTATTTTGGTTTATTCTTCATTTTTTTTAAACTAGTCATTTAATCTACCTCGTGTTTATTTTTCTAGTAGCGTGTAGTGTTTGCTTAGATGTTAGATTTTCTGTAATCCTGAATTATTAGAATAAAGACATCATTGGATAACTTGTAATGGTTCCGGTCTTTCATATAGCGGAGGATTTATCACTCAGGTCAGATCTACCCCTTTCCGGTAATAGTGCGAATAAACAGAGATAGAAGGTTCTTTATTGATAATTAATAGCTCTGCTGTTAACTTAGCATGGGCCACTAGATTGATGGATACCTAGATTTTAACAGCCGGTCCAGGAACCCTCCAGAGGTGAAACCACAATCCCTGGTAAGTAAGTAAATTAAAGCTACAATTATTGAATGAAGAACGCTAAATTGATTTCACAACCGATTGTGAATAGGTTAGATAATTAACTATAACTCCAGTTCTAGTTAATCACTTATTCATTATCTGTAGGATATTATTTTGCACAACAGTACATTGCTAAAAAAAATTAAAGGCACATCAGATCTCAATGGGGAAAAACATCATGCTAGTTATTTATCACAATATGAACTGGGTGATGTGTTAGGAACAAAAGGATGCCACATCATATGATGGAAATTAAAATTATCAACCTACAGAGGGCTGAATTCAAAGACACCCCAAAAATTACAGTGAAAAAATGATAAGGCAGGCTAGTCCATTTCGCTCAAATTTCATTGCAGCAACTAACAAAATTTATTCAGTAATTTGTATGGCCCCTAGTGTGTGCATGCATGCCTGACAACATCGGGACATGCTCCTAATGAGATGACGGATGGCGTCCTGGGGTATCTCCTCCCAGATCTGGAGCAGGGCATCACTGAGCTCCAGCACACTCCGAGGTGCAACCTGGCGGCATTGGATGGATCGATGCATAATGTCCCAGAGGTATTCTATTGGATTTAGGTCATGCGAGCATGGGGGCCAATCAATGGTATCAATTCCCTTATCCTCCAGGAACTGCCTGCATACTCTCGCCACATGAGGCCGGGCATTGTCCTGCACCAGAAGGAACTGCACCAGCATTGGGTCTGACAATGGGTGCAAGGACTGCACCCCGATACTTAATGGTAGTCAGGGTGCCGTTGTTTAGCCTGTATAGGTCTGTACGTGCCTCCATGGATATGCCTCCCGAGACCATCACTGACCCACCAACAAACTAGTCATGCTGAAAGATGTTACAGGCAGCATAACGTTCTCCATGGCTTCTCCAGACCCATTCACATCTGTCACATGTGCTCAGAGTGAACCTGCTCTCATCTTTGAAAAGCACAGGGCACCAAGGGCGGACTTGCCAATTCCGGTGTTCTATGGCAAATGCCAATCGAGCTCCACGGTGCCGGGCAGTGAGCACAGGGCCCACTAGAGGACGTCGGGCCCTCAGGCCGCCCTTGTGAAGTCTGTTTCTCTTTGTTAGGTCAGAGAAATTCACTCTAGTGGCCTGCTGGAGGTCATTTTGTAGGGCTCTGGCAGTGCTCCTCCTGCTCCTCCTTGCACAAAGGAGCAGATACGGGTCCTGTTGATGGGTTGTAGACCTTCTATGGCCCTGTCCAGCTCTCCTGGAGTAACTGCCTGTCTCCTGAAATCTAATCCATGCTCACGTATTGATGTTCCATCCTGGAGGAGTTGGACTGCCTGTGCAGCCTCTGTAGGGTCCAGGCAGCGCCTCATGCTAACAGTAGTGACAGTGACCCTAGTCAAAAACAAAACTGATGAAAAAGAGTCAGAAAAGAGGATGAGGGGAAGAAATGTCAGTGGCCTCCAGCTGTAAAACAATTCCTGTTTTAATGGTCGTCACGTTGTTGCCCTCTAGTGCACCTGATGTTAATTTCATTAACACCAAAGCTGCTGAAACTGATTAACAAACCCCTCTGCTACTTACCTGAACAATAGTGTACTCGTACTCATCGTCTCCCGCTTTATCCGGAACCGGGTCGCGGGGGCAGCAGACTAAGCAGAGACTCCCAGACTTCCCTCTCCGCAGACACCTCCTCCAGCTCTGTTGGGGGAAGCCCTAGGCGCTCCCAGGCCAGCCGAGAGACATAGCCTCTCCAGCGTGTCCTGGGTCGTCCCCTGGGCCTCCTCCCGGTGGGACGTGCCTGGAACACCTCCCGAGGTATCCCAGAAATGTATTTAACTTGATGCTATACTGTGATTACAAAGTGTTTTTTGAGTAGTGTTTTTAATAAAGTAAAGGGCCGCTTTTGGTTTCACACTCTCTTACTATAGCTATTAGACAGTGTTTTACTGTATATTTTACTGACTTTGCTTTTACAGTGAAGGTAGGCTGTTTCTCAGGGTTTCTATTCATAACATTTTACTGTTTTGCTGCACAGTATGTGAAACTTTCACAGCCTTTCTACAGGGTTTAAGCTAGTAAGATACAAACTTGTCTATCCAGAGCAGGGCTGAACATCATGTCATCTTTGTTCTTTTTCTTGGCAAAGAAAAAATGCAGACCGAGTGAAATCCATCGACCTACAGTATGTTACTTGGCTGTGGCTGTTATCTCCATGTAGACTAAGGTTTTGAATGGTCACAGTTGTTTTTAGATGTGTTCTAAACTACCTTAGAATTGGCTCAGTCTTTTATTGCACACCACCATTTTATCTCAAACAGTTGTACTGATAGATGACCAAGAAACCTGGCAAATTTAGAAAATGTTGTTTTGTTTTTTTAACCAAAGACATTTACATTTTCTAAATTGTACATGTAAGGCAGTGTTGTTTCAATGAGTTAAGGCATAGAACTTAAATAATTATATCATAATTGAGCGTACCTCCCATATTATTCCATTTTTGTTGAGCCATAATTTGTATTGAAATTTACATCTGTTTTTTTCCCCAAGCTTTCAATTGTGTGTATTTAGAAACCCTCCCACCAAAGTTTAAAATAATAAAAAGTAACACGTGAGCAAAAATATATATGTGTTAAAAATTACAGAGGGAAATATTGGTAACACCTTACAATAAGGTTAAAAAATGTTTAACTACCAGAGAGTGCCTAGGGAACTAATCAGGTTCTAATCGGTAGATAACCATTACTTACTGAGGAACACCCAGCCCACTGCTATTATGGAACTACTGCTTATTTAACTGGGAAACACTGAGTAACTAAGCAGGAACTATTGGGTCATTACACTTTACTTAAGGGCAAACAAAAACATTTATTAATTGTCAAGTAATGATTGTAATGAGGATATTACTTGGTATGATCCTTGAGTTTATTTTAGAACACACATAAAAACACAGATAATGATCAGGTATCTGTGTTTATTCAAAACCCACACTCAGAATTTCTACCCTAATTTTGCAGTAACGAACCAGTAGTCCTCTACTGTATTTGTATTTGTATTGTAATTTTGTGAAGCACTTTGTGACCTCAAAGTCTGTGAAAAGTGCTATATCAATAACCATTACTTACTTACTATTTAACTATATTTTAGTTTCTTTATTAGTTCCACTTTGGTCTTCTTGGTAACTACCAATTAGTCCCTGATTAATTACTCTGTATATCTGTGCTAACTGTGCAGTCATCTCATAATAAGGCTGGGATGAGTTTTTTTCCCAGTAAGTACTGGTTAACTACACATTAGTTACTTATTAGTTACCTATGCACTCTCTAGCAGTTAATGCAATTTTGTGAAACTTATTGTGAAGTGTTACCCAGTGTTGCATGGATGTTTTTATTATATCATCGCCACTGTGAAGATTTTAAATAAAACCAAGTCATGACATATTATTGACTACACATAAAAAAATATGAGGAGGAACATAAAAACTCTATAGCTACTAAGTGAAACCATTGTCTTAAAAAAGGTTTAGTCAGGGAAACCATTATGCAATGTCTTTTTTTTTTTATTAAACAACAGAAAATATTTGTTTATGTATTTGGAACAAGACATCAAACAAAGTATTTCCATTGTATTCAGGTTGTACCAACAAAAGATTTCTTTCCTCAGATGATTGGGTTGACAATCTTGCCAATAAAAAGAATGTTTTCTGCGTTTCTCTCTGTGATGATCACCATGAAAGGGCGGTTGAACTTCAACTCTGGGATGGGGCCAAATGTACCGGAGTGTAAAACCACTTTAATACCAGTAACTGCAGAGGCAGAGACTCCAGCCTCATTTACGTCCAGCGTGGCTTGGTGCACAACCTTTACGGTGCAATTAAGCAGACTGAGTTGATTTTGTTAAGATAACATAAGCAAGGATCTTTCAATCATATTTTCCCATCTTACCTCCGAAACGAGCAGGTTCTTTTCCTCTGCAAGGCCACTCAGATTCGCCTGATCCCCAAACACATCTGTTATTCCCATCCCTTTCAGCACGTCATTTAACTCGGAGGAGGTTTTGATAGAAAACTTGGGAACAAAGATTCTCCATACCCTAAAAAAAATAATAATAATATAGGAACCTTCAATACTTAACCAAGACATAAAAAAAAACAACCTGATACTTCATGTAAAATCTGCTCACCCTATTTTCATCGACTTCATCCACTTATTGACATGCGCAGGGCTGATATTGTTCTCCAGCATTGTCATATTGTCAGGTAAGAGCAGCAGCATGGAGTAGAGGTTCCTGAGGGGCAGGTGGAGAACTGATGTGTGGATTTCCTGGTCGATATAAGTACTAACATCTTCTTCCATTGTCATCATCTGGACCCTAACCTGGTTAATGATAGATGAACAGTTATGTAGATGTATAATAAAAACAGGATGACTCAGATCTGCTCAGCATGTTCAGCTGTGTGACTGAACCTTTTTCTTTTCTTCCACATTGAAATCATCTTCTCTGGTATCTCGAGGAACAAACGGAATTTCCCATTCTCCTGTTTGAGCAGAAAGAGGAGATTTTATGAATTACTAAAAGCATAACTCAATGAAAGCGAGAGGTCAGGGAACTCATAGGTTGAGGCCTTTTACCTTTGTAGTAGATGTAGCTGAGAAGGTACATAACTGTGTTTGGATCCAGGCTTTCTACCAGCTTGTTTATCTTCCCGTTAGTCTTATCAGATACATACTGATTGATGGTATTGGCGGCCTCTGTAGAATTGAGAAAGTCAACACTGAAGCCCTCTGCAGAATAGGACTGCTTCAGGACATCCAGAAACTCCGGCTTTGGCTTGAAGAGTTTGTCCACAAACACAGCCGAGCCTTTCGTGAGGTCATTATGAGCTGCTGTATTTGCAAGGAGCGTACGAAAGGCCTGGTCTACATCTGTCTGAGCAAGCTGGGAGCTGCTGTAGCCCAGAGCACTGAATAGCTGCTGGTGGGTCTCCCCCCGCGCCCCCACAGACAGAGCAGCTAAGGCAGCAGAGATGCTAGCTGGAGAGAAGAAGATGTTTTTGCCTTGAGAGTCAGAATGATCTGATAACTTCTTGTACAGACGGAAGGCAAAGTCCTTGTTTGCTGAGGTCACCAGAGAGAGGTTGTTGTCACTGTCGTCTGCAGCGTTGTCTCGTGCTTCCACACCGTGTCCGATGTGATGATCGCTCCTTCCTACGCAGACCGCTGCTAATAAGACCCAGAGAACCCCGAGTGCACGCATCATGAACTAAAACAAAGGGTCAAAAGTGATGTTTGCTTTGGTTAGACAATATTTACTGATTGACAAATGCATGGTGGAATCTATAAACCTCTTCATCTGGTTATACAGATGTAAATTCTGATTCTTTAAAGAAAGTATCACCCATAATATATTATGAGAGATAAAAATGGAATTAATTAACTCAAAAATAAATGTATCTTCTAAAAAATAAAAATAAAAACAATCAAATATTCACATTTTAACATATACCTTAAAAATTAACACCGTTTTCTGTACATTTTTATCCACTTACCCTTTTTCTGGCTGCAGCTCAGTTTGTCCCAGCTAACACAGGCTGGTTGGAGAAAGAGTCTTTTTATATTGTCAATCAGATGAACTTTGATTTGGTTTATTTTCTGTCCAAACTTCATATTTGTTTTACATTTGAGCAGGGGATCAGACGCTGAGCAAACATGGCATCAACGTCTGCAGCTGATGTACAAAACAAGTGACTGATTAAATTTAATGTTTAGTTGAATCTCCTAATTACCATTTTAAGGATTGTTCAGTAAATATGAATCTTTAAAATATTGAATGCGTGTGTAAATGTGAAGAATATGCGGGTCAAAACATAAAAGGGATGGAAAAATTGTTTAGGTAACCATTTAAGCCCCCCCAGATGTTAATTGGAAAAAAAGAAGTTCAGATGACAAAGGACCTCCTCTTAGCAAATGTGGGGGCATGCAGCAGGCTCTTTAGCAGCCGTGCAGTTCACAGGTTTTTGGACAGACGGCTAAGTAAATAGTTCAGCCTCATAAATCAGCCAGAAGGAATGACAAAGATTTAAGAAAAATTAAGGAATAAAAAAAACTAGACTTAGATAGCTTGAATGACTAAACTGAAGTATTTAATAATAGCAACATTGTATTCATTTTAATGATGTATTAAATTGTATATGATTATATTAACACTTATATAAATCTCCCCCCTTTAACACATGCTTTCTTATGTGTTAAAATAACATGAGTGTTCTATGGGTGTGATGATCTGAAAAGGAAAAGCATTTCAGATCCAGGGAAATTTAAAGGAGCCCCTTAATTTATCTTTTACAACCCTGTTATGAGGTGGGACTTCCTCAGGTGTTGTTTACTGAATGCAAAATTAAGCAATTAATTATTTTCAGGTATGACAAGGTGGGGTCAGATTAGAATCGCCCACAGTGTCTAAGAAATGCTGGGATAGGAATGTATTAACCATCACAAATGCCTAGAATATGTGACAGACCTGTTATTACAGTATTTCATTAAAGGAAAATTTAACTAGACTGGTTTAAATCTTATCTATCTGATCGAATTCAGTTTGTTCATGTTAATGATAGATCTTCAACACGCTCAAAGGTTACCTGTGGAGTACCACAGGGATCAGTGCTAGGACCAATTCTCTTTACTTTATACATGCTCCCAATCGGTAGAATTATTAGACAGCATGGGATTAATTTTCACTGTTATGCTGATGATACCCAGCTATATCTGTCTATAAATCCAGATGAAGCTAACCCATTACATAGATTACAGGCATGTCTTGAAGACATAAAAATCCTGGATGACTCTTAACTTTCTGCTTCTGAATGCAGACAAAACAGAAGTTATAGTCTTTGGATCAGAGTCTTTGAAAAAGAAGCTGATTAGCCGGTTACTTCATTTGGATGGGATTAAACTGATTTCAGATAATAAAGTAAAAAATCTTGGTGTTGTTTTTGATCAGGACCTGTCATTTAAATCCCATATCAAAGAGGTTTCTAGAATTTCCTTCTTTCATCTGAGGAACATTGCAAAAATTAGAAATCTTCTGTCCAGGGGTGATGCTGAGAAACTAGTCCATGCATTTGTTACTTCAAGGCTGGACTATTGTAATTCTTTACTATCAGGAAGTCCACAAACTGTAGTTAAAAACCTTCAGCTGATCCAAAATGCTGCAGCCAGAGTTCTGATGAAAATTAAAAAGAGAGATCATATCTCTCCTATCCTGGCTTCTCTTCATTGGCTTCCTGTTAAATCAAGAAGAGAATTTAAAATCCTCCTTCTCACATCTAAAGCCTTAAATGGCCAAGCTCCATCTTATATCAGAGATCTGATTGTTCCTTAAGCTCCTAACAGAGCACTTCGCTCTCAATCTGCAGGTTTACTAGTGGTTCCTAGAATTTCTAAAAGTAGAATGGGAGGCAGATCTTTTAGTTATCAGGCCCCTCTCCTGTGGAACCAACTACCAGTTTTAGTCCGTGAGGCAGACACCCTGTCTACTTTTAAGGCTAGGCTTAAAACTTTCCTTTTTGATAAAGCTTCTAGTTAGAGTGGCTCAGGTTATCCTGAGCTATCTCTATAGTTATGCTGCTATAGGCTTAGACTGCTGGAGGACTTAGGGTCCCCCATTTTATCATTCTGCTTCATTCTCTCTCTGTTCTCCTATTCTGCAGAATCTGTTAGTTCAATCTCTAATCTTCTGCTCTCTCTGCTTTTCCTCAGAGTAGCTTTGCCTCGTCTGTTCCTGTTTGGCTGTGACTCCATCCTGGAAAGAAATATCAGCTGTGCTGCTTCCATCAACACCCTTGATTATTGATGCAGGAGATCTGCCTGTTTTCCAGTGTGGTCCTGTTTCTCTGACCGTGACTGAGTGGATGTGCTCTCTTCATCCTCTGACATGGGAGCTGGCTCGGAGCTCGTCTGCCTGGCTGTGTGTTTCCTGGACGGGGTCGCCTTTTACAGCTGCTTTTTGTATCTCTGCTTCTGTCTCCTTGAACCCCAGTCGGCCTCGGCAGATGGCCGCTCACACTGAGCCTGGTTCTGCTGGAGGTTTCTTCCTGTTAAAAGGGAGTTTTTCCTCTCCACTGTCGCTACAAGCATGCTTAGTGTGAGGGATTGTATTTGAGTCAATGAGTCGATGCAATCAACTGGTTTTCCTTAGATAGAAAACTTTGTATCAATTTGACTGTATGATCTGGTTGAACTGTAAAGTGCCTTGAGATAACATGTGTTGTGAATTGGCGCTATATAAATAAACTGAATTGAATTGAACTATTACCAATTTGTTACCAAATTATTGGAGCAATTCAAAAATCTACAGTCTCCCTGCTCATCCACTATTCATGGTTAAACAGACAAAGTGGATTGGAAAACACCAGAGTGGGAGCCATTACAAATTTTTCTTAGGCGCCTTAGGTGATATAAAATAATTAATAAAAATGTCTCCGGAGGTCATATATATATATATCTATATATATATATATATATAGATACCGTATATAAGAGAAAGCTAATTCAACCCTGACCAAACTGTTATTGAGAGTTTTAGTTACTGGATATCCATTATTAGAGGAAAAGGGAATATCAATTTAAACATGAGACCAGCAACTCACCGGAGTAAAACATAAAAAAGAATTATCAGAAAACTAATACATGTCTCTAAAATGTACTTTGTGTGTGTGTGTGTGTGTGTGTGTGTGTGTGTGTGTGTGTGTGTGTGTGTGTGTGTGTGTGTGTGTGTGTGTGTGTGTGTGTGTGTGTGTGTGTGTGTGATACTTGCAGTCTGTCGAACCGGGGGTCACTCCAACGGCTCCCTCACTAGTCGGTAGAGTAACCTTGCTTCTGTGCCTGATATCCCCCTTGCTGAGAATGGCTTCTGCCCCATAGTTGTAGCCTCCTCTCTGTCCTCCCTGGCCTCCATGGTAGGGTGGTGGAGCCCCATGATGAACTGAGCCTCTGCCACATCCTCCTCTGCCCCCATGTTTTTTGTGTGGACAGTGTCTGGCCCAGGGATCAGGTTTGCCACACATGTAGCAGCAACCATCGTCGGTGCATCTGTGCCTCTTGACACAGGTTAATTCAGTTCAATACTCATCCTATGTATAACATCCTATCTTTGTGAAGCGGGATTTTCTGCGGTTACAGTGACCAAAACAAAGCTACGGAGCAGACTGGACATCAGGAGCACACTTCGTGTGTCATTGTCTCCGATTACGCCACGATGGGACCGGCTTATTTTTTTATTTTTATGTTGTTTGTATTTTATGCCAGTCGTATCCTTTTACGATACGACTGGGTGGGGGGTATGGGGGGGATGGGCGGTCAAGGAAAAAACGGTAAGCCGCTGCCCCCAGTAACCCCCATAATCTCCTAAATGTGCCATAATTTTCTTCAACTGAATAAAAACAAAACTGAAGTAATAACCTTTGAACCAATAGAGGAGAGATCTAAAGTTAGCACACAGCTTCAGTCACTTCAGCTAGTAACCACTGATCAGGCCCAAAATCTAGGTGTAGTGCTGGATTCAGACTTGATCCTCCAAAAGCATTTAAAGACAATTACAAGGTCGGCTTTCTATCACCTGAAGAACATTTCCAGGATTAAAGGACTAATGTCTCTGCATAATCTAGAAAAACTAATCCATGCGTTTATTTTTAGTCAAACTGATTACTGAAATGGTGTTTTCACAGGTCTGCCTAAGAAGTGGATCAGACAGCTGCAGCTGATCCAGAACGCTGCTGCCCATGTCCTCACTAAGTAGAAAGTAGAGCACATCACCCCAGTTCTAAAGTCCTTACACTGGCTCCCTGTATCTCAGAGAACAGACTTTAAAATACTTCTGTTAGTCTATAAATCTCTGAATGGCTTAGCACCTAAATACATCACAGACTTGCTATCAGTGTATCAACCCTCCAGACCACTCAGGTCTTCTGGCTCCAGCCTGCTCTGCATAACTAGAACCAGAACTAAACATGGAGAAGCAGCATTTAGTTCCTATGCTCCACTTATCTGGAACAAACTTCCAGAAAACTGTAAAAGTGCAGAAAGCCTGAGTTCCTTTAAATCAAGACTAAAAACACATTAGTTTAGGATTGCCTTCGACTTTTCTAGTTAAAACAGTTCAACTAAAACATCATTAGTTCAGCTTTTTTTATTTTCTTTAGTCCAACTGTTTTTAATATTATTTTCTGTTTCTGCATTTTTTATTTTATTTTATTTATTTTTTTATTTTTTCCTACTTGCTTTGATTGTTTTATTTTCCTATATTTAGTCATGTAAAGCACTTTGCATTGTCTTTGTACTGAATTGCGCTATACAAATAAATTTGCCTTGCCTTGTTACTCAGTGTTTCCCAGTTAAATAAGCAGTAGTTCCATAATAGCAGTGGGCTGGGTGTTACTCAGTAAGTAATTGTTATCTACCGATTAGAACCTGATTAGTTCCCTAGGCACTCTCTGGTTGTTAAACATTTTTTAACCTTATTTTAAAAGATAAAGAGATAAAATGGTGATGTGCAATAAAAGACTGAGACATTTCTATGGGTAGTTTAGAACACATCTAAAAACAAGTGTGACCATTCAAAACCTTAGTCTACATGGAGATAACAGCCACAGCCAAGTAACATACTGTAGGTCGATGGATTTCACTCGGTCTGCATTTTTTCTTTGCCAAG